CATATCATAGTCAAATTTGCCAGAACCAAAGACAAGGAGAGAATTCTGAAAGTACCTCTACAATCCTGAAGGCACGCAGTTCAAATTCACCCACTACTCTGTGGGAGGATGGGCAATCTCCTCCAATGTGATTAATTGCCCCTGAGATTCCACTGAAAGGATGGATATATCTTGGTTCTTACTTGATGGTATACAACAACAACAAAAAAAACTTAGATGAGCAAATAGATTAAATGCTGATTTCTCAGCAGAAACCATGTAAGCAAAATCACAGTGGTAAACGTATATTTAATACTCAAAGAACACTATTTTCAACCAAGAATATTGTACCCAGAAAAACTGTCTATCAGACAGGATAGACAGATCAAGATATTCTTAGAAAGAAGAAACTAAGGGACTTTGTAAAATAAGACCAATGTTGTAGGAAATAATGAAGGAAGTCCTTCTCACAGAGCCACCAGGAAAGGCAGATGACTCAAAGTAGCCAGCAACAATACAAAAATGAACCCAACAAAATGATAGCAATAAAACCTTGACTCTCAATAATTACATGGTCTATGAGTGGTTTAAATGGGCCAGTGAAAAGAAACAGAGTAGTAGATTGGATAAATGACAAAACCCATCAATTTACTGTCTACAAGAGACACATTTAAAAAGTGACGGTAAAGACAGACTAAAAGTCAAGTGGTAGGAGGAAGAAACACAAAGCAAACAGTAACCAGGAAAAAAACAAACAATCCGAATAGTAGCAGTGTTGTTGTTGTTGTTGTTGTTAAGTGCTGTCGAGTCCAGGCGACTCATAGTGACCCTATGAAGAAGAGTCCTCAGCGCTTGTGTGTCTTTCATCCTCTCTCCAGGTTCATAGGGTTTCCAGAGGCAAGCTGTTATGGAAGTTGATGCCACTCCTCCATCCAAGCTTGTTTTAATTGGGGAGCTCCACCCCACTCTCTGCCTGCATTGGGTAACCCAGCCATTAACGCATTTGACACATTAGTGTCACAGAGTAGCAATATTAATCTCTGATAAAATGGATTTCAGTATCTATCACAAAACTATCACAAAGGACAAGGAAGAACACTATATAATGCTTAGAGTGTCACTAGAACAAGAGAACATAACCATCATAAGCATCTATGCACAAAATGATAGAACTGAAAAATACACAAAGCAAATGTTAACAGAACTAAATAAAGAAATAAACAATACCACTATAGTAGTAAGAGACTTCAAAATGCCACTCTTAAGATAAGATAGGACTATAAGAAAGAAACTCAACAAAGATACTGAAGAACTAAACCACACAATCAACCAACTTGATCTCATAAATATATAAAGGCTAATGCATCCCCTCCCCCGAAAAAAAAGATCAATACACATACTTCTCCAGAACACATGGAACATTCTCCAGAATAGAACATATTTTAGGTTGCAAAGCAAGCCACAATAAATTAGAAAGCATAGAAATAATACAAACCATTTTCTCAGTGTTACAAAATGAGAAATCAACAAGAGTTAAAAAGAGGAGGGAAAATACACCTGGAAGCTGAACACTGTCCTACTTGAATATGTGTGGGTAATAGAATAAATAAAAAAGAAATTTAAAAAAATGAAAAAATTTCTTGAAACAAATGAGAATAAAAACACAATTTACCGAGCCTGTTCCTGAGATGGATTTGAAATTTGAGTGGGATAGGCTTAAGGTCAAATTTTGATTCCTGCAGATTTGATTTTATTTTCTTCAACTCAGGCTGGGTTTAGAAGAGACAGCAATACTAGAGGTATTAAAGCTAATGTTAATCTTGGCAGAGAGCAGAGAGTATGTCTATCTGTGGGATGTCTATCTGTGCTTCATTGACTGTTCAAAGACTTTTGTTTGTGTGGCTCACAACAAACTGTGGCTGACTCTAAGAGGAATGGGAATCCCAGAACACTTGATTGTGCTTATGTGAAACCTATACTTGGACCAAGAGGCAGTTGTCAGAAAAGAACAAGGAGACACTCCATGGTTAAAAATCAAGAAGGGTATCCAAAAGGATGTATTTTGTCTTCACACCTTTTCAATCTATATGCAGAAGAGATCATCCGAGTCGCTGGGCTGTATGAGGAGGAACACTCCCAGAGTCTTTATATGAAGGAAGCATGAACATAATAACAAAACAAGGCAAAGATATTACCAAGAAAGAAAACTACAGACCAGTATCTCTCACTAATATAGATGCAAAAATTCATAACAAAATCCTAGCCAATAGAATCCAAAAGCACATAAAAAATTAATTCACCATGACCAAGTGGAATTCATAACAGGCATGCAAGGGTGGTTCAACATAAGAAAAATAATCAATGTAATTGTAATTCACCATATTAACAAAGCAAGTAACCATATCATTTTAGCAATTAATGCAGAAAAGACATTTGATAAAATCCAATATCCCTTCCTGATAAAGACACTTAGCAAAATTGGAATTGAAGGGAATTTCCTCAACATGTGAAAAGTATATATAAAAAAACCAAGAGCCAACATCATTCTCAATGGAGATTTTCTAAAAGCGAACAGGGATCAGACAAGGATGACCACTGTTACTACTTCTAGTCAACATTGTATTGGAATTGCTTGTTAGGACAATAAACCAAGAGAAGGAAATAAAGATAGGCAAAGAGATGGTAAACTATCTCTATATGCAGATAATATGATAGGGTACAGAGAAAACACCAAAGATTCAACAAAAACAACTATTAGGGTTAGTACACCAATTTAGTAGAGTGGTAGGATATAAGATCAATATCCAAAACATCCTTTATAGTAACAAAGAGAGCTCAAAGAATGAAACAAAGACAAAAGTAATACCATTTACAATAGCTAACCAGATTGAGACACATGGGAATGAACCTAATTAGAGATACAAAAACCCTATACAAAGAAAACTATAGAATATTCTGCATGACACAATAAAAGATCTAAGGAAATGGGAAAATGTGCTTTGTTAATGGATAAGAAGACTCAATATTGTGAAAATGACAATCCTTGACCAGTCCTTGGAGAAGGACATCATCCTTGGGAGGATGGAGGGACAGCACAGGAGGGGAAGGCCCTCTATGAGGTGGATTGATTCAGTGACTGAGATAATCGGGATGGGAGTGTCAGAGATAGTACGATTGGCACAATACAGAGCAGAGTTTAGGGCTGTTGTACATAGGGTCGCTATGAGTCGCAAGCGACTCGACGGCACATAACAACAACAACAACTAAAAGCAATTTACATGTTCAACATTATCTCAATACAGATATCAAATTCATTTTTCAAGAATATTGAAGGGGAAATTGTCAAGTTTATTTTAAGAGACTCCAAATAAGTAAAACACTTTTGAGAGACAAAAGTGAAGTGGGAAGCATAGCATTCACTGACCTCAACACCTGTTATACAGTGGTAGTAACCAAAACAGCATGGTGCTGGTACAATGATAAGCACATAAACCAAAGGAACAGTATTGAGAATCCAAAAATAGACCCAGCTGTCTATGGTCAACTAATATTAGACAAGGAAATTAAAACTATCAAATGGGGAAATGACAATTTCTTAAACAAATGGTGCTGGCAAAATTGGACTCTGAGAAGAATGGGAATCCCAGAACATTTGATTGTGCTAATGCAAAACCTATGCTTGGACCAAGAGGCAGTCATCAGAACAGAACAAGGAGACAGTACATGGTTCAATATCAAGAAGGGGGTCCTTCAGGGATGTATTTTGTCTCCATAACTTTTCAATCTGTATGCAGAACAGATCATTCGAGACACTGGGCTGTACGAGGAGGAATGTGGTATCAGGATTGGTGGAAGAACCATCAACATCCTGCATTATGCAGATGACACAGCCCTGCTTGCTGAAACTGAGGAAACCTGAAGCGCTTACTGCAGAAGGTCAAGGATTACAGTCTTCAATATGGATAGAAGCTCAACATCAAGAAGACAGAGAGTCTCACCACTGGGCCAATTGGCAGCATCAGTATGGATTGTGAAGAGATTGAGATAGTTTACAGTTTTAGTTTACTTGGTTCCACAGTCAACACTCTTGGTAACAGCAGTCAGGAAATCAGGAGATGAATTGCATTGGGCAAGTCAGCTGTGAGGGACCTCTCAAGAGTGCTAAAGAGCAACCATGTCAGGCTGGAGACTAAGGTGCACCTGATCCAGGATATAATCTTTGCAATTATGTGCTATGCATCGGAGAGTTGGACAGTGAATAGGGATGATAGAGAATTGATGCCTTTGAGTCGTGGTGCTGGAGAAGAGTGTTGAATATACCATGGACTTCTAGGAGAACAAACAGGTTTGTCCTGGAGAGGGTGAAGCCAGAATGCTCCTTGGAGTCAGGATTCTGAAGCTTCATCTGTCTGACATATTTTGGGCATGTTGCAAGGAGGGACTGCTCCTTGGAGAGGGACATCATGTTTGGGAGAGTGGAAGGACGGCACAGGAGAGGTAGACCCTCGATGAGATGGATTGATTCTGTGAGTGGAGTGATGGGAATAAGTGTGATTGAGAAGGCGAGGTTGGCACAGGATAGAGTGGCATTTAGGGCTCTTGTACATAGGGTTGCTATGAGTCACAAGTGACTCAATGGCACATAACAACAACAACCTGTAAAAAGTTGAAACAGGATCCTAATTCACACTATGCACAAAAATCATCTCAAGATTGACCTGGGAGTAAAGCTCAAAACCATAAACTTCATATTAGACAAACTGAGATCAAGCTTAGAAACGCTAGTCCAAAGTATAAAGAGACTGCCATATACAGCCAGAAATGCACAATATGAAGAGGACAAAATTGATTAATGAGACCTTCTAAAGATTAAATCCATGTGTCCATTAAAAACCTTTTCCAACAGTATGAGAATAAAGCTTAACTACTGTGAACAAAAAATTGGCAATGCTGTCTCAAACAAGAGTTTCATAATGAAAGATGTATAACACAATTAACAAATAAGCAAAAAACAAGGAAAGAATTTTTTACATAGGAAATATTCAGATGGCAAACAAACACGTGAAGAATCGGCCAAATAAGAGAGATGCAAAGCAAAACCACAATAAAATAATATCTCAATTCAGTAACAATGGCAAAGCTTAACAGGACAGAAAGTAATAATGTTGGTGAGGATATGCTGAGACAGGAAGCCTTATATATTGTTAGTGGGATTGTAGAGTGGTACAACCAATCAGGAAGGCAGTTTGGTGCTGATCATAGAAATTCCATATGACCCTGATTGGAATATACCCTGAGAAAATGAGAACTGACACTAAAATGGAGAATTATTCATCAATATTCATAGCAGCGTTATTCACCATTGCAAGAATATGGAAATAGCCCAGATGTTCAACCACAAATGAATGGATTGAGAAATTATGATACACTCACACAATGGAATACTACACAGTACACAGGAGCAATGATTTTGTAAATTAGTATCTAACTTGAGAGGGACTGGAAAACAATTATGGGAAGGGAACTAACCTCAGTCTCTTAAGGGCAAATACTGTATTATATTATTATTGTAGAATGAGTATGAGGTATGAGGATGCAAAATGGAGAAGGTGGAAGCAGAGGGGTCAGGATTAGCAAGGGGAGTGTGTGTGTGTGTGTGTGTGTGTGTGTGTGTGTGTGTAAAAGGATCATACAATTTGATTGGTTGGGTGGGTGAAGGAAATGGGAATGTTTCCATTTAAAAAACGATGTATTCAAACTGTTTAACCGTAATAACAATAACACTACTACTACTACTACTACTACTACTACTACTAAAGACAATGAGATTGGCTCAGGATAGGGCAGCATTCAGAGGTATTGTACATAGGGTTACTATTAGCAGCAGACAATTCAATGACACATAACAATAATAACAACAATGAAATTATCAGGTAAACAGCAATTTTGTTTAGTATCATTATATCCAAAATATTGCAAAAAATTACTGTACAAAATTTGTATTGTGCAAGACATGTAAAAAGGTGCAAATAAACCTCACAAAAAATAAAATCCAACAAACCTGGCACAAGTTATATACAATGTCCAAAGGTGGAAGGGAGACAGTAGGAAGGCTAAGAGTGCCAGTGAGGGAAATCACAGGTTTGCAGAGTTTGATGGCAGAAGGGAAGGTATAAAGAAATTAGGAAAAATCCACTGAAGACCTAAAAAAGATGGAATAATAGTGAGAATTATTAAATTTAGATTACTTTTATAAAATACAATGTATGAGAATGATCATGTGAAATACAATGTGAAAGAACTAATCTGTGAAACAAAGTATATATGAATGATAACACAACACATATGCATTTTGTGTACAAACCATTATAAAAGAAAAATTAAGAGTTGGTATAAAAAGAATCCAAATGAAATTTGCATTTTTATTTTATTTACCTAGCAACTATGTACATGTTAATATTTACTTCTAAATACTAATATTTCTCTCTACTGCCTATTCGTTGGTAAATAAAACAAGCTGCATAGCTATTCTCATGGTTTCCCTACTTTCTATGCATCTGTTGGGTGTCAAGTAATAAGGGAGTCAAGTAAAAAGAAATGGGCACTAAAATGTTACAGTAAACAAATAAGAAAATTAAATAATTGTAAAAAATGTGAATAACAGAGTATTAAATAATCTATAATAATTGTTATACAGAACATTTTAAAAGGGTATTTTTGATAGAAAAATCTTGTATTAGTAACAATGCAAATTATTAAAACCCTTGAAATAGAAAATCAATCTGAATAGAAAGTCAGATAATATTTTATGTTTCTTCAAGTATGTATGGGAATGTTGATTGTGAAGATGATAAATGTATATTCCTTGAAAACTTTATTTATAATGTATATTTATGTTTTAACAGGTATTGATTTATTAGAAAAGACTCCATCACCCAGGCTTGTGAAGACACATTTACCAATTGATCTCCTCCCTAAATCTTTCTGGGAGAACAAATGCAAGGTACACTCTGGAGTGCAGGTCCATTCTTCAATAACATTCTACAAATTTACTTACATTTCAGAAAGTACTCAAGTGTCTTGTCTATCCAAGACAAGGAACACTGAGCTGGGAAATGAAGTCCTTTTTAATTTTTTTTAAAGTTGACAACCTCTTTATAATATTGCTACTTTTATTTCTGAGTTCTTTGCAATTATCCCAGGTTCTCTGATGACTCATCATCAGCATTGAAAGGAAAAATCATGGTTTAAAATTTACAGAATGAAATTGAGATATGGATATATAAGAGAAATTTAGTTCACACAGGAGATAGTTGATAATTTGACTCTGAGAATGAGTACTTGTTATTATGTGTCATCTAGTCACTTACGATTCATAGCAACCCTACGTACAAGATCCCTAAACTCTGCTCTATCCTGTGGCAACCTTATTGTCTCTGACACATCTACCCCCATTATCCCAATGACTGAATCAACCCATCTCATTGAGGGTCTTTCTCTCTTGCTCTGTCCCTCCACCTTCCCAAGCATGATGTACCTCTTCAAGATCCTCCTTGTAACATGTCCAAAATGTGTCAGACAAAGCTTCAGAATCCTTACCTTCAAGGAGCAGCCTGGTTTCACCCTCTCAAGGATGAGCCTATTTTTTTTCTTCTAACAGTCGGTGGTATATTCAACACTCTTTTCCAGCACCACATCTCAAAGACATCAATTCTCTATCATCCCTAGTCATTGTCCAGCTCTCTGACGCATAGCAAGCAATTGTGAAGACTATGGCCTGGATCAGATGCACCTTAGTCTCCAGCCTGACATTATTGCTCTTCAGTACTCGGGAGAGGTCTCTGACAGCCAACTTTTCCAATGCAATATGTTTCTTGATTTCCTGGCTGCTGGTACCAAGTCTGGTGATTGTGGAGCCAAGCAAACACTAGCAATCATGATGTAATGTTCAGTTATTATGGCAGTAGACTGAGAAAGAGAGTTTCAAAAGGAAAGCTATATATAGATCTTGATAGAGAAATATTTAATAATTTGCATTCTTCTATATGTAATATGCATAAAATTAAAATAATAATTGTGTATATAAAATTATATCGTTATAATACCCACAATTATGTACTTCTAAGCTCTGGACCAATAAACAACATCATGATAGATGGAGAAAGGATTGATATTGTCAATGATTTCATCTTACTTGGGTCTACAATTATAGAAATAGCAAGGGCAGCACAGAGATAGCTGTATCTGATTTCCACCAACTCTACAAGGGAGAACTGTCCCCATCAACAACATCCACAACACAAAACAAATTCCCATGAGATCAAACATGTTCCTCATGCTCCTACACTCCTTTCTAATCATTCCAACATAAATCTTACTGCTTCACTGGGTCTGAAATATGTTGTAATAGCTTCCAAATCACACAGAACTATATTAAAGAGGTCAAAAGCTATAATTCAAGGTGATAGCAGATGCAATCATTTACTTAGTACAGTTTCTGACATGTGCTTGCTGGTACCTCAGAATTCAAAGTCTTTAAGCAAGTGTTACAAAGCCCTTAGTCCTGCCAGTTACGATTCTCCCTTCTAGTCCTTAACCCCCTCCCTCAAAACCAAAATAAAACAAACAAACAAAAAAACCAACAAAAATCAGCAAAACTTGGGCAATAAGGTCTTCATTCTGATTCCATTGGGTAGTAGTCCCAAGGCCAGTTCTATCTCATGTCAGGTCTCTGGTTTTCTGCTTTGATTGCCTCTGCTCTCCTTTAGTTTTGGCTGGTTCAAGAATCTCTGGCCCCAAAGGGCACACTACATTCTCTTATTTTTTCTTTGCCAACGATGAGAGTCTCCAAATCTGCTAATGAATCTGCTCAATATAGTGGCTGCAACAGCCAGTCTCCTTGTGGATAGAACACAAGCTGTATTCGCATGTTCCTACCTAATTATATGGCAAAAGGAAAGTCAATGAAAAACCATTTTAAACAATAAACCCTTAACACCACAGAATAACCCCCTGGCTCTTCTAGCCATTAGTCTTCATATTTGAAGAGTTAACATTCCCTTTACAATATACTATTAATGATATTTGTGAAAGCATGTATGTAAGCCAGCAATTTCATAACTCATACCTTAATATTTATTTTGTAACATTTTTATTATTACTATTATTATACTAGTTTATTTAGAAAATTTGAATACAATGTTTTTCATAACATTCTCCCAGTTTCTGATCCTCTTCCACCCATCAAACTGTACAACTCAGTGATTAATCCTCCTTCTCCCTGCACATGCTCATCCCTGTGCTTCCACCCTGACCTCTCTTGGATCTTTATATTCATTCTACAATAATGGTTTATACAGTATTTGTTCTGGTGGGACTGAGTCACTTCACTCCACACAATGCTTTCCAGTCCCTCCCAAGTTAGGTAATAATTTACAAAATAGTTCCTCCTGTGTGCTGCATAGTATTCTATTGTCTGAATGTACCATAATTTCTCAATCCATTCATTGGTTTTTGGACATCTGGGCTGTTTCCATGCTCTTCTGATGGTGAATAACACTGCTATGAACATTGGTATACTAGTATCCTTTTGTCCCTAATTCTCGTATTATCATTTCTTCAGGGTATATTCCAAGTAATGGAATAGCTGGTTTACATGGAATTTCTATGTTCAGCTTTTTGAGGAATTGCCAAACTGCCTTCCAGAATGGTTGTATTATTTTACAATCCCACCAACAATGTAAAAGAGCTCCTTTCTCGCCACAACCTCTCCAACATTTATTACCTACTGCCCTGTTAAATTTTGCCACTAATACTAGAGTGAGATGGTACCTTACTGTGGTTTTGATTTGCATCTCTCTTATTGCCACCGATTTTGAGCATTTCTTCATGTGTCTGTTTTCCATTTGAATATCTTCTTCTGTAAAAATTCTTTCCGTGTCTTTTGCCCATTTTATAATTGAGTTATTCATCTTTTTCTTGTGGAGGCCCAGGAGGATTTTGTAAACTTTCATTTTAAGAGTCTTATCTCAGATGCTATTACCAAATGTTTGTTCCAGGGAAGTAGGTTTTATTTTCACCCCATTGGAAAAAGGTTTTGATGCACACATGGATTTAATCTTTAGAAGGTTCCATTGATCAGTTTTATCCTCTTCAGACTGTGAATTTCTAGCCGTATTTGGCAGTCTCTTTATACTTTGGACTAGCATTTCTAGGTTTGATCCAATTTTGTCTCTTAGGAACATTATAGTTTGGGGCTCTCAGGTCTCTGATCCACCTTTAGGTGATTTTTGTGTATGGTGTGAAATGTGAATCCTATTTCAGCTTTCTGCAGGAGGTAGTCCATTTTTGCCAGCACCATTTGTTGAAAAACTTATCATTTCCCAATTTGATAGTTTTCATTTTCTTGTCTAATATCAGTTGACCATAAATAACTGTGTCTGTTTCTGGTTCTCAATTCTGTTCCATTGGTCTATGTGCCTATCTTTGTTCCAGTACTATGTTGTTTTAGTTACTACTACTATGTAGTAAGTTTTGAGGTCAGTGAGTGCTATGCCTCCCACCTCACTTTTGTTTCTCAGAAGTATTTTGCTTATTTGGCATCTCTTGCATCTCCAAATAAATTCAACAATTTACCTTTCAATCTCTTCGAAAAATGAATTTGGTATCTGGATTAGGATTGCACTGAACATGTGCATTGCTTTTGTTAGGATTGCCATTTTCACAATATTGAGTTTTTCTATCCATGAACAGGACACATTTTTTTCTATTTGTTTAGGTCTTTTATTGTGTCTTGCAGAAATGTTCTACAGTTTACTTTGTATCAGGCTTTGATATTTCTAGTTAGGTTCACTCCCAAGTATCTCAATTTGTGGATGGCTATCGTACATGGTCTTATTCTCTTGATTTCCTTCTCTGAGTTTTCTTTGCTCCTGAAGAGGAATCTTACTTATTTTTGGATATTGATCTTATATCTTACCACTCTATTAAATTGGCAAACTATTCCTAAGAATTGATTTTGTTGAGTCTTTGGGGTTTTGTCTGTACACTATCATATCATCTACATATAGCATCTCTTTGCCAATCTGTATGCCTTTTATTTCCTTCTCTTGTCATATTACCCTAGCAAGCATTTCCAATACAATACTGAATAGGCATGGTGACGTTGGGTGTCCTTGTCTGATCCCTGTTCACAAGAAAAATGGTTTTAGTCTTTGTCAATTGAGAATGATGTTTTGCATGTATACTTTGTTTTGCATGTATACTTTTCACTATGTTGAAGAAATTCCTTTTGATTACAATTTTGCTGAGTGCCTTTATTAGGAAGGGGTGTTGTATTTTGCCAAATGCTTTTTCTGTGTCTACTGCTAAGATGATATGATTCTTGTTATTTACTTTGTTAATATAGTGAATTATGTTGATTGTTTTTCTTATATTGAACTATCCTTGCATACCTGTTCTGAAATCCACTCGGTCATGGTGAATTATTTTTTGATATGCTTTTGGATTCTATTGTCTAGGATTTTGTTAAGGATTTTTGCATCTATATTTATGAGAGATACTGGTCTATATTTTTCTTTACTGGTAAGATCTTGGCCTGGTTTTTGTATTAGGGTTATGCGTGCTTCATAGAATGACTGACTGTGTTTGTTCTTTTTCAATCTTTTTTGGAATAATTTAAGTAGAATTGGTGATAAATCCTCTCTGAATGTTTGGTAGAATTCAGCTGTGCAGATATCTGGACAATGACTTTTCTTACAAGGCAGTATTTTTTGTTACCTTTTCAATTTCTTCTTTTGTGATGACTCTGTTCAAGTATTCTATAACTGTCTTTGTCAGTCTGGGGAAGGGATGCATTTCAAGGAATTTGTCCATTTCCTTTAGGTTTTCAAGCTTATCAGAGTATAGCTTTTTGTAGTATTCTGATATTATTGATTTAATTTCCTCTAATTCTGTTGTGGTATCACCTCTATCATTTCTTAATCAAGTTATCTGTGTCTTCTC